GCTTGGTCGACAACTAAGAGCGTATAAAAGGCAGCGGAAGCTATACTACACTGGGAAAACGAACAATTGCCGGCGTCTCAAAGAGTAGTTAACAGCTGCCGTAAAGACCACTCCGGAAAGAATCTTTGTTGATATAAGGTCGCTCCTGAAGGTGTCAAGGGACCTGCCCCTGATAGAGAGCTCTGACGGACAGTCCCTAACCTACGCTGGGCGAGCTTCCGCGTTGGTGGCGCACTTTGCTTCGGTATTTGCAAATGACCACGTGCACCGCCCTTACCGAGCTCCGTAGTCTGGATTGTGGTATTGAAGCGGTGCGTCATCTACTCGCCAACTTTGACAGCACCCAGCATGCAGCGTCTGACTAACTTCATCCACTAATTCCTAAGTCCTTATCGGCCATCAGCTCGCTTATCGTGACTGATTTGTTCGACGGGTCGCTGTTTGAAGGTACATTGTCGACCGATTGAAAATGATCGGTGATAAAGCTGATTCTGAAGGACGTGACCCCAGCAAAGTAGACAATTACCGGCCGATTTGTCCGACCTCCGTTTTGATCAAAGTACTCAAGAAGATCGTGAAAAAGGGTCTGCTACAGCTGCTAGAGCCGAAATACCTCCTGAGGGCGGTACAGCACGGTTTAATGCCATGTCGTTCATGCATTACTAGCCTGCTGATAACAAGACATGAATGGTTGGAGGCAGTGTACCAAGGTTAGTCGGTTGACCTGATCTACATTGATGTCAGTAAAGCGTTCGACAAGGTGAACCGTGAGGTCTTCCTCCCCGGGCTGTGAGTCTGTGATGTTGGCGGATCATAGCACCACTGGATCCACGAGTTTCTACATTGATGAAAATGGAGGATACTATTCGATGTCCATCTAACTGAATGGTTTCCCTCTACCAATGACGCACCCCAAGGTACAGTGTTGGCGCCCGCTCTACTTCTGTGTTATACCAACGATCTATCTCAGCCTCGTGCCGTATGCAGGCTACCTGAAGATTTGGGCAGTGATTAGCCCATACGACGACCACGGTCCACTTGAACAGTACCTCTTCATGTGGTCTGCAGTAGTCCACCTCCCGGTCAACCCATCCAAGTCGGTATACATGAGCCTGTAGAGACGTGGTAACAACATAACATATACCCCTGACAATTTAATGTTACATCCCACACCTTCCATGAATAATCTAGGCGTACTCTCACGTTGTGATTTTAACTCCGTGGACAACACAAACAAGTTGCACCGAAAAACTTGCGCATTCTTTGTGTCCTCAAACGCCGCTTCTGCATCTAATTTAAAGAACTTGCTACTCGCATTTTCCCTACCATAAGACCATTTATGGAGTACTGCTCGCCCGTCTTCTCTCCGACCACTCGAGGAGAGGCGCGGAAGATCGAACGGGTCCAATACCTCATAGCCACGCTCGTCTTCCGTTTTTGATGTTTACGTACGAAGAAATGTGCGGGAGACTGAGATTGCACACCCCACCTTGTCGTCGCGTGGAACTCGACCTCATTACCTACCGTGTTCTACTGCTAGCTAACTTACCCATGCTGAGTCCACTGCTCCATTTGGGAAAACCCTACAGCACACTCGGACACGAGCACAAACTTGTTGTGCCCGATGTGAAACGAGTTCCCCACTCCCTGTCTTTTGAACTGCAACTGATCAATGTTTGGTCACGTTTGTTGTAGCCAGCTCTGGGCAGCAGTTCAAAACATTGTCGGTTTTACATATTTCCACTTTTAGATTCTAAGAACAATTGCGCATTAATAATGATGTACTCCTTAATTTCAATAGCTTGTTTGATCATTCCGTTCTTTTGTATTCACGTATCCAGTAAGGTGTCCTTCATGACGTATGCGAACATTCCACCTGATCTGTACTTGAAGACTACCTCATGGTCCATGGTCACATCGGACGCTTTTTCGCTAGCAGTTTGCGTCCGTGATGATTGTCTCATTTTTCACAGGAAAACGAATTGTTATGGTGTATGCGGATGACTGCTTTTCGAAATTTAGTTGGCGGCACAGCCATTCCTTAACACATATTTTCGTTATCCTGTCGTTTGGTATGTGCGAAATAAAGTTCTATGGAGGCCAACCGTCCGTTTGTTAGTCCGTTGACGGTGGTGCGCTGGAGGCAGCTGATTGTTGTGTGGTTGTTGCAGCGGTTTCACGCATTACGAAAGGTTGGAGTGTCTTCATGGATCCGCGATATATATATATATATATATATATATATATATATATATATTGTCAGATGAGAATTTCCAATAGTTTTGGGGATTATGCCTTTCCGATCGCGGTGAGGGCCGCTCTCCTCTGAAGAATTGAGACCTGGCTTCTTCTATCTGAATATCTCTTGCGCCTTCAGGTTTTTGACAGTCGTTACTTAATGGGCCTTGTTCGCGCCTGTTGACACGAGCGCATCAATGACGACCCCATAGGCTGTCAGTTGCTGGTCGGTAATAATCGAGTTAATTTTTTACCTCAACAGAATAAGGCTGAATGAATTAGTGTCATTTGGGCACGTGCCACATGTACCCGAGTAGGGTTTTGTTTTACCCAATAATTTTTTTGTTTGTCTGGTCTTTGTGAGGAGCAATCATTGACGCGGAAATGTACTCACTGACTATTCAACTGGTCGCCATCACGCCGCCTCTATTATTAGGCTGGGATATGTGCTGCCGATTGTGTTTGGCCCACGACACGACGGAACATGTCTGCACGCGATGATAGTGACGTGTTTCGCGCTGAGTTAGTTGTTGTCCAAGCTTGAACATGACATCGGCGTTGAACGCCGCTAAAAAGTCTCGGTCCATTATTCCCACGTTGACCAATTATTTGTGACTGTGCGATGTTGCCAAAGTGTAGTCAGTTTGATCTTGAGTACTGGTTCAGTGCACTTAGTTTCCTCTTAGCTCCATTTGACAACAAAACACCATTATAAAGTGTAGCTAAGCTGATTGACGGTGATTAGTCCATTTACACTCTCTCCAGGGCTGTCACTTTCAATTTATTGTGGTGTAATTTCATTTTACCAGTGATTTTGTGCCCCTTTTGCTTAGCGCACCGTATTTCCCTTGTCCCTGATTGCAAGAGTAACCCAGCGTTCCGCCTGATACAAACACAGCTAGACCATAGAGCCGTAATCCTCCGGTACCATCAGGTTGCATTTGTGATACTCGGTCAATCGGCAGTAATCGATACTTTCCGATTCATTGGGCTTACGTCACTGTGAGGGTTCTCGTGACTTATGCGCACTCGGCTTATGTGTCCTGCGTTCTCAGTTCTGACAGTGCTTCAGGAAGTTAACCTTCCTAACCCTTTGGTTGCCCTAACTTTTCATTCATAATTCCGTCCTCTGGTGACGTTTCATGGCAACATTTGCCTCAGGGCTTAGACCCCATATACACTCTTAAGGTTATAAATGGCGAAACGAACCGGATTTATTGGCGTATCTGCTACTGTCCTTTCACATTTTTCCAATTACTGCCTACTAGCGTTTTCATCTTGTGTTTTCAAAATACTCAATCAAGTATTAGACACTTCGATCGGTGCTCGCACCTCTAGGAGTAACTTGCAGTATCAGCTAAGCATTCACCTTTTTGAACATATTGTACACTGCTCCCATTCACTGATCTTATCGCAATTCATAGGTGTATGTTAAAGTCCTCTCCTTCACTGGAACGCGGACCAGCCTAAGTATGCGCGAGGTAGATCAGGAAACTGGAGAGGATCTGAACCCCCGGAAGGAATCGGACTCAACGTCACCGCAAGAGAAAGCTGGCCCCAAATTACGCGATGTGGATGAAGCGGACGTGGATGGAGTACGTAATCCCGACCGTCCCGATGCTGGCTCTACCTCGGGCTTATTGTTTGGTCGACGAAAGGAAACCAACCTAGATGAAGACCTAGAATCTGGCCCCAAAAGGTGAAGCTCTCTCGTTGCCACTCATAATGCTATGCTTTCTAGCATCATTGTCAACTGTTTCATATTTGTCTCGTGCATTTAATAGAGTTTCTTTGCGCGCGCACCATTGACATCTTAACCGGTTGAGTGTATGATGTCAGATTTTGGCATCATTTGCTGCGGTTGTTCTCTACCTGGTGAGTCTAGATAAAACCAGCACGGGCCATGGGACGGAGCGGGGTGTTGGGGGCGAAGAACACGTGCGATTTATTTGATTGCATAGGCTGTTTTCTCTTAAAGCTGCACTATCTCACTTTCGCTCACCTTAACTGTCGATGCAACTGGGTTCCTGCCGAAAGTGATGTTCTTTTTTTCTTTTTAGTTCCAGAAAAAGTTGACACGGATTACGGAAAATTTACTTGCATCATCTTCGCAGGGTGCTAGTGTCAGAATAACTAACGGGCAAAATTACGTGTCTTTGTTCCTCGTTCACTAGTCCTGCCTGTTTTAACCAGTTCACTCGATCCAAAACCTCATCTTTATATGGGGCCAACCAATCGCCTAACACCCTTTGTTGATCTGCGGTTATCTGCTACCGCTGAGTTCTGCGTTTTCCAGTATCATACAACTTTATCTTATGCAAGTCAACAGTGTGCTTCGCTCTATGCTACCCTGCATTACTCTCGCTGTCTTTATATGCCCATCTGAAGATCTGTTTTTCCATAGTTCGTTGCTCGATCGACATTACTTACCTCTACTGGTTACATTCGTTTACTACCATCTCCTTGATCTTGTCCCAAGCCGGTGCACCAACCCAAAATCATGACTCGCTGATTGTTAAGGTTCAACCCATGCTGTATTCGTCAACTCTCTCGATCCTGCTTATCTCGTCTTTTTATGGTATGAGCATAACTGTGTGCACCAAATATATCATTCAGGTGGCCACATCTGAGCGAGAATAGTACTGTACGTCCAAAACGCTGATCACCAATTTATGTAGCACTCTCCATACCGCTATGGCATCAACATAAAAACTATGCATGTACTTTGTTTGGACGGAAACATCAGTCTGTTGGTTTTTTGTGTTTGTTAACATTTTACAAAACGATGACCTAGACGTTCTTCTCTTACCTTGTTTTTCGTTCGTAGAAAAGTTCAGCGGATAAGCAGCCCCGAGCGTTGGGAGCTGAAACAGATGATGTCAGCTGGTGTAGTTGAAAAAACTGAGCTCCCGGATTTTGACGAGGAAACCGGGCTTCTACCCAGGGAAGACGAAGAATCTGACGAGGATATTGAGATCGAATTAGTGGAAGAAGAGCCTCCATTTTTGAAAGTATGCCACACGTTTTTTCTGAATTTTGTCTCGTCCGGTTTGATGCGGTTTGATTCGGAATCTTTGCTTCGATAATGTCCTTTATACTGCTGCCGAGCAAACGCCACTTTCACTTTCGCCATTATTCTCACTTTTTAAACAGTTGGGCATGTCGACCAAGTCGCTTTTATATCGATTGCTCACCACCCTATCTGCCTGACACTGTTCACTGTGTTGGGTTTTTGACCTGTTGCGATAGAGCTTTCACTGTCAAAGTTACCCGTCCACAGTACTTGGTTTCGTAACGAGTTTGTTGTATTTCACCCTATTCTACAACTCATCTAAAAATCCTTAATCTACACAATCGTACTGAGAGGCCATTTGCGCTTCTGCGTATCTCAGCTAACTATGTCTGCAGGACTGAGGCTGTGGTGATAGGTTCTAGTGATCCCAAGCATTATCTAAAACTTAAGCTGTGATCTGGTTTTCACCCAACCACCACTATTCTGACTCTGAAAGGTGTATAACCAGGCGTCACCGATACCATGTATCACTGCGCTCTCATTCACCACAATGGTTGATTGCGTACACGCGTTTGTTGCATTTGTGCGCTTTTCAATCGGTGATCTCATTCACCTCAGACAATGATATGTTTCGTCGGTGTTTTGTCTACATATTTTGGTCCACTGTTTTGTATTCTAGCCAGTGCCTAATTGCTTCTAACTACACCCGATCCCATTCGTTCCTCATCTTCTGATTTGCATCATATATGCACCCTGCTTTATGCCCATTTCCATGATGGATATTGACGGCTACTCTGTGAATGGACGGGACAGCAGCTTCTTGCAATACCTCTGTTTCTCATTTGTGTTTACAGGGTCATTAGCGTACACGTTGCGCATATTTTCACTCTTTCCTGCTCTTTCTTGTTGTTTTTTGGCGCAAGTGGAATAAAGTCTAGGCGACACCCGAGGTGCGCGCTCGATTTCATCAAGGCGCTATCCTTGATTTAGCCGAACGTGTCTATTTACTTGCTGGCGCCGGTCAGCTTACGCCGGGGAGTGAAATTAGGCTGGCACTTGTGGGCTTTACCTTAGGCACACTTTTCAAGTTAATCGATCAACTGTCCCTATGTGCCTAAGCGCGATGAATTCAGCTGCCGGTGACACGTTCGTTCTTTGGATGTACTGACTTTCATTTGTATGTCGCCATCAACGTCCATTTTGCCCTATCTTACTCTTCTCCACTTTACCACGAATGTTGCTTGTTCTCTCCAACCCACACAGGGGCACGGGCGTCACGCCATGGATTTGTCTCCAGTGCGGATCGTTAAGAATCCTGACGGATCTCTCCAACAGGCTGCGATGATGCGCCAGGCATTGCAGAAGGAGCGCCGTGAAATGAAACAACAGGAACGTCAAAGTCAAATGGTAGCCGAACGTGAGGCTGCCCCTGAACGTATGGGGAAGGACTGGCATGACCCCATGGCAAATACAAGTACCTGCATATAACTCACCCTTTTTAGGTCTAATTTCGGTTCCATTTTTGAAATATGTTTATGGCATGGCGGCGGTGTTTCAACCGGCAACCCTTTCGTGCATAGAAATTCGTCGCATTTCTCTAAATTTCTCTCTTTGTTACCTACAAATGCATCGCACAATACTTGGTCATTCGTTTTTAATGGATCGCATTGTAAAGTGAGGATCTTCTCGCTTAGACAAATGCATCTTAGTTTCATGTTCCATACGGTGTTAGGGATTAAGAGCTCCTACTCGTCCGTCGCTTACCAACATATATTACTAACCCTCTATATTTCCTCTCCACCCTAGTGGATATTAAGCCACAATATGGTGGTCCTCGTGGCTCTGATCAATTCAAGGACGTTCCAGAGTGGAAGCGCGCTGTACAAGGTGGAACACGAACAGGCGCTGTTGGCAAAAAAATCGTTCGTTCGATTTTGGAACAGCGTCAGAGCTTACCGATCTTCAAGCTGAAAGATGAGCTGCTTAGCGTGAGTCTAGCTCTGCGGAATATTTCTCTTAACTGTTGCATTCTTATTGGCATACATCTGTACTTCACCTTTTGCAACATTTATGGTGTCGTGTGGAGTCTCGAATGCCGCTTTGCTTCTCTCGCCACCCTCTGATGGAAATTTATAAAATTTGAATTGACCCTCTCTATGGGAATGAGCATTCAAGGAGCCTTATTCTTTTCACAGTGACGCTAGGCGTTAGGACGCCACAATGACTTCCGCTTCTCGACTCTTAGGCTAAATTTGATGGCTTTTTCAGACCAGCTAACCCTGTTTCTACGATTCACATCGAAATTTATGTGAGTTCTTTGACAATTTTCTGTCATCCATTAGTCTCATTCGCAGTTCGATTGTTATCAGAGCGCAGCGCACACTGCATCCGTCATCATCGCGACCACCCCTGGATATCGTGGTACAAGCTTACTCGTCAATGTTTGCTTACGTAGCGTGATCAGGATAAATAAGCAAATGCCAGGTTTTCAGCGTTCAACGTGTTTCCGCCACATTAAACTACACTCCTCTCAGCCTGTAGTTTCGTAGATGGCATTGTTTCCTTATCCTAGTGGCGTTAGCGTAAACATTAGAACTGTAGTTTCCTCCAGTGATCAGATGGGTTCGAGAATTTGTCAACAAATCGCCTCTGTGTTGCTGATTCTCACGTCGGTAATGTTGAACGCTTCCTCCAGTTAAATATGGTCCACGATTTCTTTATTTTACGATACGGCTTTTCAACATAAACAGTTTCCTCATTCTTTTCACTAACCATCGGATGAAAATCTTTACCAAGCCCCGTTCGACCCCAGTTTTTCTGGTCGCAACTGATGTGACACGGTCTGCGGCTGTCGGTCGACAATGTCTTCGCTACTCTCACGTTGTCATTTTTACCTCAGCCACTGGTCCATATTTACGTTCATTTGTTCCCCTTGACTCCTTGATCCGCAGTGACTATCTATGAAACTTAATGGAAATCTTTCTTGTCACTAACCGACTATATGTATGAATATCAACTAGATTCACCCTCATCATTTCTTGAAGCGATGTCAATTGGCATCCACCGGCGCCCATTGCTCACTACATTCTCCGCGGCAGTTGGCTCACAACTCTAAATGACACAATACCTAGTGTTTTGTTGTCGCGTGGACTGAATTTCCATCGATGTTGTACTTTGTTTACATTACTCTATAACCATGTACGGAAATTGTTTCTACCTTATTTGGATACTGACGATCTGTATGATGGTCGTCCAATATTTATACGTGTAAACCTTAAAGCAGGACCACAGAGCGCGGATGTCCCGGCCTAGGTCACCAGTGTCATCTATTTTTCCATATTTGTCCCTCTTCTCTAGCATATATCTACCACATGTGTTAGATGACAACAAACTACATCTGATTTTGCAAAGCTTTCTAGCCACGTGACCGCTCAATGCTTCATATCAGCTGTTTCTCTCCAAGTTGTGATTTTCAACACTTAGTACGTCATATTGGTCAGCACTGGTACTCATTGCCCCTTATACTCTCCTGTAATTGGTGTCTACCGCTGCTTCAGAACTTCCACACAGGTCGGTAACGTTTTGCTTATGCGTTAACTCCTCTAGTCTGTATTTTTCTGGAAGTGAAAGTATCTTTCATTATTTCAAGAGCGCCTAGCTAGTCACTGAAAGCATTTATTGTATCAGATCTGCGCTCAATAGAAAGGTCGTAGATTGTTTTCGCGGCTGGATCCTAGCTAATATGCACAAGGGGGCAGTTTGTCTGCGAAGTCCAGCTCGCTTTGTAGGCAGTAGCCAATTCGATGTCAATAACTCGGTCACTGCCAAATTAAGCCCCATTTGTAATATATATACACACACATTTCGTGAGAATCGCTGCATCATCTTTTGTGTTCTGAGCTCCTTATGGCTGGCTTATACAGACCTGTGCACAGTCTCTGCATTTGCTTTTGAAAATAAGGTTGTTTGTCCTGTCTGTAGGAATGTGGTCTCTCAAATGCACCAGCGTCGAACCCCTACAGTTTGATCCTGTTGGTAGGTCACCCCCATGCTCTCCCTGTTTAGTACTCTTCGAATTGCTCGAATATTATACCCATGGAATGACTAAAACACACGGTTGTGAAGAACACACTTTTCGATACGTCTCATCAGG